TTGCTGTAGAACACTTTGCCCAAAAGTTACCATTTACTCCTAAGGAGAGCACAGTACGCAAGTTCCGAAAATTGTATTTGGACAAGCACCGCGCTACTCAGCATGTGGCTATGCTACAACAACAGTTACAGCTTGCTAATACTGTTGGTGTTCAGGAAGCAGTTGGGTCCTCTTCGTCTCAGACTATAGACATCCTTCATGCCTCATTGAATATCTTGAACAATGCTCAAGTTAGTGGCCCAGCTACTGTTGTGTATAATACACATATTCAACCGACCAACCACCTTATCCCTGCGCCTCATACCACAAGCTCTGTGCCCATAACATTTCATCCTGTAAGTAATGAGGATACAGCTGCCTCATATCGGCAGCAGACGCCTGTTACTGCGTCGGTCATCATGAATCAAAATCCTGTTGCTTTCAACCAGAACCCGGGTCCTCTACAGGCTTTTCAGCAGTCACAACCAGTTTACTCTTCATACAGTAACCAAGTGCACTCAGACAGCAGTGCAGCTCCAGTATCCCACAAATCTGTAGTCACATCAGTTCCTCTCACAATAACACAGACGCAATCCCAGCTTCCAGAAACCTCTGCCCTATCTGTTTCTCATACATCTATACCTACTATTACAGTAGCAATAGCATCTCATTCTCAGCAACAGTTTCAGCCTATTTCAAATCATTCTACAGTAGTTATGCCCCACCAAGCTCATGCAAATGAGCACTCAAGTTTGGATTCACAGCAGTCAATTTTAGTGTCCCATGAGCAGAATGGCACGACAGTAGTTCAGCAGTTAGTGACATCATCTCTTCCACATCCTCATCTGCAGCAGGAACAGCAGCAGTCTGAACTTCAGCAGCCATCATTATCTCATGATCTTATTAGTGGTGCTGTTACTAATCCTGCTTCAGAACATCACTCCCAGATACTGGTTCAACAGCCTTCAGTGATAGCTGATTCCCTTCTTGTTGAGCAACAGACTGTACCTAATCATTCTCAGTTAGTAGAACATCACAATTTGGAGTCTGCCACATTTGTTCACGCTCTTCATGATGGAACTGCATCTCTCCCATTTGATACTTCTGGTTCAACATTAATAGCCGATCGTGATGGTACATATTCCATAGCATCAGAAATTAATGGTGGTATTTCAATAACAGTTGACAAAACATCAGTTATTCAAACATCTCACACCCAGGATGTGTCCATTCCAATTCAGACACAAGAAACACAGACTCAGCACGATACTGAAGATGTGGTTATCAGTATTGTGCCACAGGAAGTTTCAAAGAGGCTAAAAATTAAAAAGTTGCCACAGTTATCAGAAAAAGTGGCATCCCATAACAAAAGAATGAGATTTCAAGAGCAGGAAACAAAAGTAATTCATGTTGTGAAAGTGGATTGTGGTACGGAGGACGATGTCGATGATCCATTAAGTGTTGAAGACGTACCAAAAAAGAAGAAGAGATGCATGGGAGGTTTTTCTTCCAAGAAGAAAGTAGGTTCTGTTGTTGGACAGAAACGGGGAAACTATACTGTTTACAGTCCTGAGGTCCGTGCTGAGATGGGAAAATATGCAGCTGAACACGGAAGTCAGCGGGCTTGTCAGCATTTCAGAAATATTCTTGGGCACGATGTTCCGGAGAGCACTATTCGTGGTTTGAGGGACAAATATTTGATAAAACGTGAACATTGTGGAAGCAGTTCTGGTGCGGACAAAGAGGTAACTTCTCTTGGTTATGCTCCTCGTGGTCGTCCCATGAGACTCGGTAAATATGATGAAGTGGTTCAGGAATGCATTCGAGAGCTAATAAAATCAGGAGAGCGGGTGTCATCTTTCCTTGCAATTGCAACAGCTAAACAAGTCTTAATGCAGTATGAACCTGGCCTGCTGGAGGAAAATGGTGGAAAAGTGAAACTGAATGTCACTTGGGCAAAATCATTCCTGAAACGTATTGGAGTACAAAACAATTCATAAGAATTGACTGTGCACCAACCAGTTGAAATGGTATGGTATTGCTTAATATGATGTGTGCAGTGTGATATTTCCTGTACAGAACAAGCAGTGTGAACACATTTTGTTTTTCAGGTCAGGTTTCAAGAGTTGTACACACTGCTTAGTTTTTTAAGAACAATTTGTACATATGAAAAAATTATGAAATATTAATGTTTTAATATTTATATGACATTAATACTAAGTTTTTTATCTTAGTTTTATCTTGTACCTGAAACTGGTGGTCTCAAAATTTAGTAATTATAATGCTTTGTCATGCCAAAGAAATTGGAGGTTTAAAATGTTAATGAACAAAATATCTTAGTTTCTAGTCAGTAGAATATGCGACAGAACTGAACATTGTAATAATAAACTTTAAGGAAGTCCCTCTGCTACTACTGAACTCTGGATGCCTGAAATTGTATTTAGAAACATATAGGAAGTTAAATAAGTATACACATATCCTTTCTGCTACATAAACTAGCAGCAGATTCTTAATTTTTTCCTGAGTGGCATGTTGAAATGATTCCATTTCATAGTGATTTTAGTTTATTATAAGAGTTTTGGAATACCATTTGGTTTTTGTACAATTGGCCGCATTATAATCCATTTCACCAAATTAGTCTTCTCACAGTCACACTACAAGTGCAACTCCTATGTTTACAGTGCAGTATTTTCAGTTTTACTTTTCTCTTTGTAAGTACATTCTTTGAGTTGTGAGTTGTCTCTTCTCATAAGACTAGAAATATGTGTAAAACACATGGTGGTGATAACAGGAAGATTATTTTATAAAAGAATTTAACAGGAACCATAATATTGAGCCATAAAATCCGAGACTGTATATATTTATGTTACAGTTTTTTATAGTATGTGTGTGTGTGTGTGTGTGAGAGAGAGAGAGAGAGAGAGAGAGAGAGAGAGAGAGTGTGAGATTGTGCATATGTGTTTGTATTGCCACTTGTGATGTGTGTGTCTCTTGTAAGTGGCATCCCTTCCAATGTGTAAACAATTAATGTAAAACATTATACAACTGATTTGAATAATCAGAAATTAATATAAACCCACACAGATTTCATTATGCTTTTAATTTTTATAAATTATGACCCAGGTTTCAACATGACAGGAACCTACAATTTGTACTTACAACCTGTTGGCATTAGCTTGGTGTGTGTAGTTGGGGGCACTAGTGAGTCCTCATGTCATCAGTTATGGTTTTGTTGCTTGAAAATTCAGATTTGGAAGAAGGTAATTAATCACTCCTTTGCTGCAGTGTTTATTGGTTTCAAAATAAAAGGCACTTGAAAGATTTTGTAACTTGAAAAATTATGTTTTGAAATTTTTAGGAGAGAAGGTTGAACTACTAGAAGTTTGCAGGCTTCTGGAAGATGATGAATGGCTTTGGGATCTGGCTTATCTTACAGATATTATTGAACATGTTAAAATATCTAAATTTTTGATTGCAAGGAAAACATGCTCTCATTTACTTTATGTTCAATTTTATATCAGTGTTTAAAGGCAGACTTATAATTTTTCTGTATTAGTGTGGGATTTCCTATTTATTATGCCTACTTGTCCACCAAAACATTCACTGACCTTCTGGATGGTTTCAAAATCAACCAATTGTGACAGAGTTCAAACCTTGTTACAGATTGGCAACCAATAAATAATATTAGAAATTTCAAAGATGAAATGGTCATTGGAAGTAATTTGCATGTACAGAAGTGTTTTTGAGACACTCCATTATTTGCTGTTAGTTTGGTAGCATACCCTGTTTATGCTATAACTTTTGATTCATGCAAGACATTGATTGGATTATTAATTTAGAGTATTTCACTTCCAAATTATCTTTGGTGTCACAGGGATGAGAATTTAGGTGAACATTACAGTGAACCTACCTCAACTAAATTGCAGCTACGTTCTGTAAGTTGTTCTGTGTTGTATAAGGGTGTTGATATATTGTTACTTAGTATACATGTATTAAGTGTGCTCAACCTCTTAAATACTACTACTGATGCTCTTGCTGCTGCTAATAATAATAATAATAATAACAATAATAGCTGCTGCACTATGTACCTCATGGGCAAGGTTTGTCTCAGGTACATAGAAGTAAATAGACGGAATAATAACAATCTTGAATGAACGCATACAGCAGCATGTCGACT